CTGCAAAGGGAAAAAGGCTGGAGGATGTCCACGGTGCCTTGATTCCAGGAACCGTGTAAGGACAGCCCAGCACTTTCCTGGCTGGACAGGGGCGCTTGTGACTCTCACCCCTTCCTGTTAATATTGTCCCCGCCACAGCTCTTCTTTCCCAGGAAATAGGGGTGGGGGTTGGAATAATTCAGGCATACTATTTCCCCTGTGTGCCCCAGGAAAGAACGGACCCTGAGTTTCAGGTGACTTTCTGCTAAGAGAAAATTCCCATGAGCAGAAAAAGGGCAAATGGGGGAAGGGTCCTCTTTATTCAGATCCTTTCCTGGTGATCATGGGTGGGTCACAGGTCTGTTTACTTTGCCTATGAGCCCCATAACTCCCTAAGGAGAAGGCCACAAAGCCTGGAAATTAACAGCAAAGATTTAGAGGTTTTTCTCAATTGGGGATAGCACAGCCCCCACTCAGAGAGCATCGGGGCGTGCGCGTGCGTGCATGCGTATGTGTGTGTGTGTGTGTGTGTGTGTGTGTGTGTGTGTATTATAGCTCCTTCAGTGAGGCAATAGGCCCTCCAGGACTTAGTGTGGGTGAGAGATTGTAAATGCAGTAAAGGCTCAGACTGCCCCACGTAAGAAATTTTTCATTCAAAGTGCCAATGCCAGCTCCTCAGAAGAAATGAATCAATTGACTTTATTTTTCTTTATAGCCCGTATTCTCAACTGACATAAGTATATTTGTTTACTTGTTTATTTTCTGTCTCCACACCTAGAAAGTGAGCTCCATGAGAGAAGGGACTGCTTTTTTTTTTTTTTTTTTAGCCATCCTGCTACCTGTTGGCAGCTCAGCGGCTGCTCAGCTTGGGCTGACTCGAACTGCTGTTGCTCAGAGCTCAAACTCTTGAGCGAGCTCTTAACCAACTGAGCCACTCAGCCGGCCCGAGAAGGGACTGCTTTGTTTCTAGCAGCATTTTCTGACTCTGTAACTAGGGAAAACCGTGAGATTCATGTTTGATCAGTAGTTAAAGATGCTCTGGATGGAAAGACTAGAACGTGACTGTCCAAAGGACCTCTTCCCTGGTTTTTCATCTTCCCTATTCTGCCTGAAATATTTTGAATTTATTTAAATGACATTGTGCTACACGTAAGGTCTATCTCTAAGTTTTTTTATTCATCATTATCTTGTTTTAGATTTAACGTTAAAAATATATTTAGGTCTCTTTCAGTGATTCTTAACAAGGGGTGGATATGGGAGTGACACCACTCACTATTACCTCTGATGAGCCACTAGCAAATATTCTGCTTCCTGTCCTCATGACATTATGCTCTGCGGGCCGTAGAGGTCTTAGTTCCAAAGTAGGAATGGTTCCACCGGCAGACTCAACAATGACTCCATTGACACATCAGCATTCCCCACTCTTAAGCTACCCAGAAAGTGCAGAACCATGGACAGCGCCAATCTCAGTTCCATCCTTCTTCCCTCACAGGGCCAGGGGTCAGAACAAAGGACAGGCTAACAAGCCCAGAGACTGTGAGGGGGCAGCACCATGGGGCCCCTGTCTGGTACGGGATCAGGGGAGGCCATTGGCTGAGGCCGTGCACAGAGACTCAGAAAGAAGGTGGTACAGAATAGAAACCCCAGAAATGGGGAGGGGGAAGTGGAGGAATACAGGTATTTGGGGGGTTCTGCCTAGGCCGTGGGTGGGATTGTGTATGAAGCTGTCTCAGTACTAAGTGCTTCTCCATTTAAGCTGATATGGACAGAGGGAACCAACAATGGCCCTGGATCAATGTGACTTAACACTTGACTGTTCGGCCAAGGGCACAGGCACACGTGAGGCCCAGGCCAGGATGAACTGGAGAGGAAGGAGACCCCTCTAACCTGATCCAGGGACACAGAGGAGCAGGTGATGCTGTGTGTCCCCAGAATCAGGGTTCCCGTCCTGAGCGCCAGGCCCTGTAAGTGAGAGGGGCAGCTGCCTTGTCCATCCTTCCCCCTCTGCTCCTGGCACATCTTCCCCGGCTGACAAGCCTGGATTCCTTCTCCTCTTCCTCCTCACAGACCCACCAGGCAGCACTTCAGCCACACAGACCACTCCACCAAGGGGCACTCAGTGTAACTTACTGGAGACAAACACAGACTGGCATATACATTCCTGGAAACCTGAGCTTGATAACATCTTATTGAGGGAACAGGCAGGGCCAAAGTGCTTACAGGAACAGAAACTGGGACTCCCGGAGCTGGGACATGATGGAACATTAACATGACATGAGGCCCATGTAAAATGCCTACTGATTGATGTTGAATGAACATGGTGACGCTACACTTCCCTCCTTTCCCACCAGAGGGCGGCAGAGCTACACGACATCCTGGAGCCACCCAGGGGGTGCTGACCTCCCTGGGCAGCGTCCACAGCCCACCAGGGTCCAACCCTCACCAGCATCACTCAGCCCACCGTCCTACTCGCTCTCCAAGCTCCCCACACTGGACTCTGTCAGCTAGCTCCTCCATCCAGCTGCCAGTCCTCTGCTGGCAGTTCCTCACCACTGCCACCCATATCCTTAAAGGGGCAAATGCCCACTTACACTTCAAGTCACAGCCAAAAGGACACTTTTTCACAAGTGCTCTCTGCACCCATACCAGCTGAGACTCAAGTACATGCTCCAGCAATACCAGAAACTTGATCCTCATGGCCCTTCTCTCAATTATAATTAACCTTAGTTCCATGATTTTGCTGCATGCCTGTCTCTGTTACAAGGTAAACTCCATGAGTGCAGGACCCACGTGTGTCCTGTTCTCTGTAGTCCAATGGCCCAACCCAGGGCCTGACACATCACAAGCACTCCGGAAACACTCATTAAATGGATGAGGAAACCACACAATGGATACCTGTCACCCTGTGTGACACCTGGGGTCGGAGTATGTCCTTATAAGCACGGGGGCATTGGTGTGGCCATGGATAAAGGCCACCAAGGGCCCACAGCTGCCCCAGGGATGGGCCTTTACCCCTCATAGAGTCAGGACAGAAGATAGGGACCTCCTAACAGTGAGGGGTTGGACCCCCATTTTCCCCAGAAAACCACAGGCCTGCCCATCTCTACTTTGTGAGTGACGTCTCCTTGGAGGTCAGGGGGGACAGCAGCCTGAGTCCTTCCTCTTCTCACAGAGACCTGACCTGGCACGAGCTCTGGACCCTCAACCCCAGGTGCAGTCACCACCAGGAGAGGAGGGAGCCCACCCTGACCGCAAAGGAAGTCAGCGGGCAACTCCCCATCTTCAGGGTCCTTGGTCCATGGCGACTCCTGCCTGAGGGTCCCTTGAAGACCTATCACCAACCCAAGGAGCCCTAGGGAACAAGGATCATTTCCTGATCAGGAAGAAACAGGAAAACCCAGGATCTGGGGTTGCTTCCATCTCAGAAAGACTGAGGGTCCCACGGGGCTTCCCCATCCTCTGACTGAGTCTCCACGTGGAGCTGCTCCAGCTCCTGGGCCCTGTGGAGAGGCCCAAGCAGATGACAGACAGGGACACAGATGACTGGGATGTAATGCCCCAGAATGTGATGGGGGAAGCACAGTGCATTCTGGGGAACAGCCATGCCCCCAGGCCAGTGCCCTCTCCTGAAAGACTCAAGAGACCACTCACCAGGTCCTTTCTTTGAAACCTCGGGGACACAGAGCTCCTCCTGAAGCAGGACATTCCCCTGGAGGACTGTTCTCTTCACCCTGGATCAGGAGTCCTCTGGACAATGCCTATCCTCTCCCCAGGCTCACCCAGCACTGAGATGGAGTCAAGCAGCCTGAGACTCACAATGACCAGGACTGGGGATAACTGGCCCCTCAGCCTGGAGGTCAGAGCCCACCTCTGCCCAGGGCTCAGGGTCAGCTCACACCCTGTGGAGCCTGGTCAGCATCCCCTGGCATAGCCCCTGACATTGACCGCAGGTCTCCTCTTGCCCTCCAGGGGGCGACGTTGACACACACACACACACACACACACACACACACACTCACACACACACAAATCACAGGAAATTAACACAGGAACCTGCCTCTGCTGAGGAGACGGAAAAGGAGCCTGATTTCTATCCTATAGACCCTTCTGAGGCCCTCCCACATGCCTGCTCTGTCCCACCTACTCCTTCCAGGGGCTTAGGAACACCTACCTGCCTTGTCGGGGTTCCCTGTGCTGCTCCCCACCCCCTGTCTGGCACATCCATGAGGAAGGCGAGGTGAACACAGGAAAGTCCCCCAAGCAGAGTACAGAGCTTGGCCCAATGGTCATGGAGCACGTGGGCAGGCTCTGAGCCACAGCTCAGCCTACACACATGGAGACGGAGGGTCTCCCTGAAACCTTCCCCGAGGACCAGGGAGCCCACAGACACCTGACCACCCACCACTGTCCTCTCTTCCCAGGACACACAGGACACCTTCCCCTTCACACCTGGGAACAGCAGGTCCTTCTGAGACCCCTGATACTGGGTCTCTGTTCCTGGAAACAGAGGCCAGCTTGTTGACACCTGGAGATAGAAGGTGGGTCCCCTCACCAGTCATCAGGCAGCTCACCCCTTTCTCACTCCCATAGTCATCTGTGTGACCTTCCTGCTGGGAGGAAATCCAACCTTCCCAGAGCATTTGAGAACACAGGGAAGACCCTGGTGCCCAGCTGGGTTTGTGTGTCACAAACAGAATTGGGGACCCCTGGGGCTCTCTGTGTGGTGCTGACAGACACAAGACCAGGACAGAGCTGAGTCCAACGCTGGGATGAGTGAGTCGTCCTCTTAGGGGACAGGGGTCCCCATCAGCCGTGCCACTGAAAGGGTGCTCTGCAGACCAGTGTCATCAGTGTCCCCTGAGAGCTTGTCAGATGCAGACTGTTGGTCCACCGCACACCTGGGAGTCAGAATCTGCATGTTTTTGTTTGTTTGTTGTTTATTTTTTATTGTGAAGTATACATTTTTAAAAATTAGTTTCAGCTGTACAACGCAGTGCAATAGAAGAATCTGCATTTTACAGGATCTGCAGACTATCCCTGTGCACGGGGGAGGAGAAAGGGTGCTCAACCTCCACCTCACAGGGTCTCAGCCTGGCCTGGCAGCACCATTACATGGGCAACTGCTGCAGCAGCATTTCTAAGGTGTCACCTGGGCACTCACAATCTTTACAAAGTTCCAAAGCCCAGCGGGGGTGACATCCTAGTGACAAGAGTCCCTGATGTCGCTCTCCGGGCTCCGAGAAAAAGCCAGATGAGGATGACAGAGAGCTGCGTGGGAGGCTACTGTGCACCCAACATGGAACTGTGGGGAATGCCCAGACCCCGATGTCCCAGGCTTCTGCTTGTCCAAACGTGTGTGTGTGTGTGTGTGTGTGTGTGTGTGTGTGTGTGTGTGTGTGTGTGGTGTGTGTGTGTAGGTGGGGGTAGAGAATCACAGCTGAATAAGGCAAAGTCTCAACAGTTCCCTGGAAACGGAAATGTAGACAGAAGGCAAACGGTAAGGAGGGGCCGAGAGAGGCAGCAATGGGGAGGGAATGGGAGGGGCCTGTGCAGAGACCCCGCCCCCGGCCCACGTGAGCAGCGAGGAGCTACTGCCCCTGGAGGAGGCTCAACACACTGGAGGCACAGGACCGCACAAGTCCGGACAGCCGGGCTTGTGAGCGTTACTGGAGCCCAAGCTCTTAGCATCGAGGAAAAGACAGAGGAGGCAGCAGACGCCATGGAGCCTCGCTCAGCATTTTCCCAAAGAGGGCACGTTCCCTGGCACGGATTCCTGCTGGCAGGTGAGAGGGGACGGTTCTCTAGGGGTGGACAGGAGGATGGGACACCGACTGGCTGGGGTCTTCTGCAGAGAACAGGGCTCTCAGAGGGGCCAGAGACCTTTTTATTGGACCTGAGGGGATAAGTCCAGTTGAAGCAGAGTCGGATATGGGAAGGGGACTCAGCAACAGGAAAATCCTCTGATATGGAAGTGTGAGGGGCAGGAAAACCTCAATTACAGTAAGTATTACAAGTTATTCATCAGTGAGCAGTAATTGCTGAAACTGATGATAATAATAATTTATGTCAGGGTGACATCGAAAGAGCTTAACCAGGGGATATAAACATTGTCTTTACCACCACCCTCAGAAATGGGCAAATACACACCAGGAGGAGGAGGGCCCTGGGAACACTCATTCATTCACCCACAGGTATCTGCAGCCTGTCCCAGGCACTGGGGGTACAAGATCAGACAAGCCCCTGCCTACATGCACCTCACATTTCATGGGGAGGAGACAGACAAGGAAAGATCCAGATGTGACGTCAGGTACCCACAAGTGCCATGAAGAGAACAGAGCAGGGAAAGGTCAGAAAGTGAAGACAGGGACTATAGAGGAGGGGGTCAGGGCAAGTGTCTCCCTAGGACGCCCCTGAGTGTCAGCAGGGGTCTGAGGGCAGGTAGGGGGTGAGCCAGGTGGACACCTGGAGAAGAGTATTAGAAACAGAGGAAGTAACAGGTTCAGGGGTGCTGGAGTAATGGTGGCCATGCTGCTGACCTTGACCATGGGACACACACACACACACACACACACACACACACACACCCAAAGGCTGAGAGGTGAAGAGACCTCAGGATCTAGGGCCTCATCTTTCCATCTCAACACATAGATCCAGATATTGATCAATTTCTCTCTTTCCTCCTAGTCTCACTCTTAACCTTCTGGAGCCCGCCCACCACTGCCCAACTCACTCTTGAATTGATGCCGCCCAACGCGGTAGAAGGGAAGGATGTGCTTTTCCTTGTCCACAATCAGAATCAAGATCTTCTACGCTATGTCTGGTACAAAGGGGAAAGAGGAGACCCCAACCATATTGCATCATATAGAACAGACACTCAGAGAAATGAAACTGGGCCAGCACACAGTGGTCGAGAGACAATATACCCCAATGGATCCCTGCTGGTCCAGAGAGTCACCCTGGGAGACACAGGATACTATACCCTGCAGTATACAAAAACAGACTTGAAGGCTGAAGAAGTAACTGGACAGCTCAGTGTATTCCGTGAGTGACTCCTCTCTGACCTCTGGGTGTCGGGTGGGGTGAATTCTACTTCACACACACAGATCGACAACCTGGACTCTGCCTCCATCCCCCCAGCATTACATCCCAGGTTGGGGTTGCAGTATTTAGTGCAGGACACACACAGTGGAGACAAGCTTCACAAGATCAGAGTTCCCTTCCCAGATTCCAGCCCCTGCAGAATTCACCCCAGAATGAAGGACCAGTCTGATGGGAGTAACTCAGCAGAGCGAGACCAGTCTCAGTCCAGCCTCTGGGCCAGTTCCGTGACCATGACTCAGAAAGACCCTGCAGGGCTTGGTCAGCCTGGCCTGAGTGGCGCCCTGGGGTCCTGATGGAGAAGCTTAGCCTAGGCAGCCCCTCCCCACACCCCTGACCCAGGGCTGCTGACTCCAAGGATGCTGGGGAGCCTGTCCCAGGTTGGGTTTGGCCTCCTGGGCAGAGCTGACTGGGAGGAACGGTTTCCCAGGTGCCTGAGCCCCGAGTTTCTGAGCTGGTCACCAGCCAGGGCTCAGCCCCAGGAGCCACATCTGGGCAGGGGCGGGGCCTGATCCTTCACCTGAGACTGTGCATTGAGCCCAGATGGACAAGGTCATAGGCCATTAGCTGACTGGCCTGGTGGAGTTAGGAGACCCCAGAGCAAGGTCCATGTCCCCAGGGAGGGGCAGAGGAGAGAAGATGCTCCTGGCAGCTCCTCATCCACCAAGGATCGAACCAGGGAGCCCTGTCTCATGGATCAAATAACAGATGCCGTTACTTTGTGCAGCATTTCTGTTCCAAGCTTTAGGTCAAGTAATTGTGAAAGATTTAAGATTCACAGGCCACATGACAAGTCTGAAACCATTTACCATTTATCCTGTTTCATTCAGGGGAAACTGAGTTACAGGGGAACATAGACCATGACTGGCCAA